ATATAGTACGGTCACAGTATCGAACACCACCCCATATAGTACGGTCACAGTATCGAACACCACCCCATATAGTACGGTCACAGTATCGAACACCACCCCATATAGTACGGTCACAGTATCGAACACCACCCCATATAGTACGGTCAGACTAGCGAACACCATTGACCTCGGATATCTCGTGCCAGAATTATTCTTAATTTAAATCTAGGATATGGAGAAAATTACGGGTGAAAATACCACATACCTCGGATATCTTACATCAGAATTATTCTAAATCTAAATCTTGGATATGGAAAAATGTACGGTGAGAATAATAAGATACTTAAGACACCGTGTCTAAATATATAGCATGCTTAAGGTTTGTAAAAATAGTCAGTTTGATATCGGTGTCTGTCGTGAGGTGTAGAATTCTGCCGTTGAACATTATTCTTCCTCCAAACTGTTTAGGTCGTCAGTGCGTTCAGAAAATGTCCCATTGGTACAGATTATATTCTACTGTTGTTCCTGTCCGGCCATCAGATTGTCTTAGAAATTGGTTTATTTTCGGCTACACAAGTCATTGTCAAAACAATCTAACCTTATTTAACAGATAGCAACTGGACAACAAATGTAACAAGTAGGGAAGAGGGACGATTAAACAGATAGCAAAAACGATTGACAGACAACAAAGAAATGGTACAAAATCAAGAAATACATTTCGATAATTGCATATTCGTATAATCATTCAATTCACATAATAGTTTAAATATAAATAAATAATACAATAACATGCCACACATATATTTCAATATGAAATTAAAATCCCTTATATGACATTATTGCCCCTACACTATCCGAGTGTCCATAACAGGCGTAGGCCATTGATTGTATGGAAAGTATCCAGTACAAACTTACAGGTGTAGGCCTTTGATTGTATGGAAAGTATCCAGTACAAACTTACAGGTGTAGGCCATTGATTGTATGGAAAGTATCCATTACAAACTTACAGGTGTAGGCCACTGATTGTATGGAAAGTATCCAGTACAAACTTACAGGTGTAGGCCGTTGATTGTATGGAAAGTATCCAGTACAAACTAACAGGTGTGGACCATTGATTGCATGGAAAGTATCCAGTACAAACTTACAGGTGTAGGCCACTGATTGTATGGAAAGTTTCCAGTACAAACTTACAGGTGTAGGCCATTGATTGTATGGAAAGTATCCATTACAAACTTACAGGTGTAGGCCACTGATTGTATGGAAAGTTTCCAGTACAAACTTACAGGTGTAGGCCATTGATTGTATGGAAAGTATCCATTACAAACTTACAGGTGTAGGCCATTGATTGTATGGAAAGTATCCATTACAAACTTACATGTGTAGGCCACTGATTGTATGGAAAGTATCCAGTACAAACTTACAGGTGTAGGCCACTGATTGCATGGAAAGTATCCAGTACAAACTTACAGGTGTAGGCCATTGATTGTATGGAAAGTATCCAGTACAAACTTACAGGTGTAGGCCGTTGATTGTATGGAAAGTATCCAGTACAAACTAACAGGTGTGGACCATTGATTGTAAGGAAAGTATCCAGTACAAACTTACAGGTATAGGCCATTGATTGTATGGAAAGTATCCAGTACAAACTTACAGGTGTAGGCCATTGACTGTATGGAAAGTATCCAGTACAAACTAGCAGGTGTAGGCTATTGATGGTATGGAAAGTATCCAGTACAAACTTACAGGGGTAGGCCATTGATTGTATGGAAAGTATGCAGTACAAACTTACAGGTGTAGGCCACTGATTGCATGGAAAGTATCCAGTACAAACTAACAGGTGAGGACCATTGATTGTAAGGAAAGTATCCAGTACAAACTTACAGGGGTAGGCCATTGATTGTATGGAAAGTATGCAGTACAAACTTACAGGTGTAGGCCACTGATTGCATGGAAAGTATCCAGTACAAACTAACAGGTGTGGACCATTGATTATAAGGAAAGTATCCAGTACAAACTTAAAGGTGTAGGCCGTTGATTGTATGGAAAGTATACAGTACAAACTAACAGGTGTAGGCCCCTGATTGTATGGAAAGTATCCAGTTCAAACTTACAGGTGTAGGCCACTGATTGCATGGAAAGTATCCAGTACAAACTAACAGGTGTGGACCATTGATTGTATGGAAAGTATCCAGTACAAACTAACAGGTGTAGGCTATTGATGGTATGGAAAGTATCCAGTACAAACCTTTCACTTTACACACATATGCTTACATTGTAAACTGAGAAAACTGTTAAGATTATATTTAAACAAAACAGATGATATTCACTTAGCATAAATATTCTCGGTGTGTATTTCTATAACACGTTAGGGTGAGATTTAGCCTGATAAGAAAGGGGATTACTGTGGCATAGCTGGCACGACTTGAGCTGGTGTACCGCCGGGTAGAGGAGTGGGATCAAACTGTCGCCTTGTCCCTGTTTGTTTGATTGTTACAGTAAATTCCCACACGCACAGAGTTGTAAGAAACCAAGTGTCAATATTGCCATTCGAAACAGATTAATAATTTAATACATAAAGTACAACCTAAGCTCTTTCTCACACAGTTAAAACGGGGATACTCCAGTGAATCAACATAAACATAAACAAAGACACCAGATTGGCCTTTGCCACTAAGTACAGGTACAGGTTGTACACTATTATTTGGCATGCAGAGATTACATCACAGACCGTGCTCGTTGATCCGTCAGATCAGCTAGTCTAACACTTATTTAAAAACACATAATGCCGGTTATCAGAAAGACGTTACGCACCTTTGTTTTGACTTGACAAATGGCAACACCCTTGAGGAGGGATATTCTCGACACTGTAGCACACGGTTAACTTCCATGCACGTTTGTATGCCAGCACTTTTGATTTCAATAGGCAAATTATGAAAGACATGTGTTTAAGGGGTGTTTCGCTAAGGTGTATTAAACATCCACGGAGAGTACTTGAGTAGGACGCACCTTGGCGTGACCCGAGGTCAGGAAAGTCCGTGAGGGATCATCGGGGTCCATGTACTCCGCCCCCTCTTCATCATCATCGTCATCCTCGTCGTTGTCTTCTACGTCCCTATTACTCTCCTCGTTATCTTCCATGGAGTTTTCTGGAACATCATGCACCACCTGGATGATCTCGGAGCTGCCTGGAGATTCCTCAATGGTCATCCCTATAGGAATGGACGCCACGATCTCCGTCGCTTGCCTGCTCGGGGGAGTGGCGCTAGAGATGTGCGTCCGTATGTTATGTTGCCCTCCCGACCGAATGCGTTGTTCTGGTTCTCCTTCCTCTTGCGTATTTTGCGTTGGGTCACGTTGATTGTCCAGCATGGTCTGGTATGCCCTGATCCGCTCCTCGCGGTCAGGCTCCGAGCCGTCCGGAATACCGGCTATGTTTCGTAGTTCAGCCTCCTCATCAAACTCATCTCCATTTTTACCGTCTCGTGGACTCTGAATATCAGAGTTGCCAACGTGTTCTAATTTGTCCGGGGCGGACTTCACAGATTTCAAAGATTTCTCACGTAGTCGTCTCTTCCGGTTAGACGCGTTTGATTCTAAACCTTTTCTAAGTTGAATTTCACCTTGTGTTAAACTCCCTGAAGATGGTGGGTAGTATTTTGCTAACTCATAAGGTGACATTTCGAACGGGAAATATGCATTCCTTGACTTCCTATATTTTTTCAGATCAATCTCTAGTTGAGTCTTTAGTTGGCGCTCTACCTTAGTAGGATTGCCCACCTTGCTGAGGAGATGAAGTGAGTTCGATATACCCCCTATCTTATGCGTGGAAGACCCTCCTGGGTCTGCAAAACTCATTTCATCATAACCTAACCTAGTAACCACCTTCTTTCTCAGTGCCTTACCGCCTATATGTATAGAGGGTAGTGTGCCCTTCCTGTCGAAAGTGTCATAGAATGGTGTCGGCGGTCTAGGGTCTGGTTCTTTATCTACAAAAGCGAAATGTTCCGGTAAATACTGATTTGCCCCTCCGTCGGAGTACGGACTCCACGCATGCCCCTTGTGGTACATGTTTTTGAATGGGTTGAGGTATTGAAGAGACCTGCGACTACTGCCCTGTAAAAACCTATCGCCGTTTAGGTTGACCATAGATGGCCAGTCTACAACCTGACGTTCCTGTGATTGCTGAAGTCCCGTTTTGAATTTTGTTGGTACGTCCTCGCACTGAATTTCCATCATTGTAGATTTAGCGCGTTCTCCCCGTGTTATAAACCCAGGCACGAAACTCTGTGTGTGTTCCACCACCTTTTTGGGCGCATTGGTGTCGGCACACGGGTGTAACTTCGTTTTTGATTTTGGTGATTGTGGACCTTCCTGTCGCCTTCTATTTTCTTTAATGTCCCCAAGGAACATTTCAAGTTTGTCAGGAGATGGCGAGGGAGGGGTCGGAGAGGGGTCTCGTACCCTCCCTTGTCGGAGCGCCATCTGCTGCTCATATCGCTCATAAAATATGGGCAGACTATTCTCGCGTCGCCATACCTTATTCACAAAGGGTTTCAGTTCGACAATCGGCAGTGGGTCTTTTTGCGATTCCCCCTGGACTCCCTTTTGGGGTTTCATGAACATCTCTTGTCGTTTAGAGTCTATTCTACCGAGGCCAGGACGGGACCCGGTCGCCATCATAGACATGGCCATGGTGTTCTCATCAGAACCTTCACGTATGTAAGTGATAGTATATCCGCGCACTTATAGGGATTCACGATTTATTGAAAATCAAATTAAATTGTCTCTTCAGTTGATTCTCCTTAATACCTTGAGGATTGAACGGAGATATCATAGTCCAATTAGCTTTTCTATTGAGAAGTAGTTTATAAGTGATCATAGTTACGTTCGAGACTGTAATATAAGCACTTACTTTATGTATTACGGGCTATATATAATCCGCTGTTTTGATAAAGGTGTATAATCCCGTGTGGCTAATTTGACGATACGAAAAGAATTAAATCCCTTAGAATACTAGTATCTCGTCCCCAGCACATTCTTGTCGGATGACAGTTCACGACGTGGTAGATATCACGATGACCACTGATACACCTGTCCAGGTTTGGACAATATTTGAGTTTTTTTCACCTTGCGTGTCCTGAACGTGCCATGTTGTCTAGATCACTTGGAGTTCACGTCCTGTTAATACAGTGAAGCATTCTAATAAGTCCTTAAGACGTCTCTAATATATGTATATGTATAATTAAGTCCAGTATACACAACCAAAAGCTGGCGGAAACAGCACGCACACTGAATACAAGGTGTTATTTTTAAACTAGACTTTTATAATTCAAATCTATAGAGGTATTTTACACTTGGGTGAAATCAATGTTATGTTTCTGACTATGCTTACTTGTTAAACACTGAGGCAACCCTGGCACAGTATGGCGTACGCTGCATTCTCCTGTGTGTTAGCAGAGGTCCACCAGAGACACACAAGGTCGCTCCAATACGAACACATTGCAGTAGACGATCGTAGCAACAACCGACAACAAAGTATCTGCTGGCTCTACCCCTGTATTGATTTAAATGTCTGATTCTCCGACTGGTAGTCGTTACGCCGAGTTCGTCCTTTAACCTGTCACACACTTCTGCCTTCCGCGCTCACATTAGCTTTACCCATTCGACACATTAGCTTTACCCATTCGACACACAGTAGTTTCCAAACAAGTTTTCTCAATCTTTCGAAACCTTATTGTCACATTTCAAACGTTTCTGTCGTCAGCTGGAAATGTTGATTTTAAACACAGTGTATTTAATGATTATTTAAGTAATAACTATCTATGATAGTGTGTTTTGTGTTTTGTTTGCTTTGGGTAAAGCGGATCATAACTGTAACGGTTAGGTCCACATAGCGCATGGAATGGAACACTCCACTGATCCAGGATCAGTCCATTCAATGGAATTGTTTAATCACAATAGATAGGTATTGTCATTAAAATGAATGTCCTCTTATCGTTTAGAAATACATGTATAACTCAATACACTACACATAAAAAAGAAAGATTAATATATCTACATAAAGCTTACATTATACCCTGAACGGGAGCTATAGAATTGTACAGCTCTGTGTTCTGGTTTATAACAGCGGTGTAATAGACAAACTGATTACTGATCTAATTACGGCACAATTAAATTACATATCAATTAAATTACATATCAATTAAATTACATATCAATTCGTACAAATATGTGCCGTTAAGAATTTTAACTAAACCTGTTTGGCGAGAGAGACAACACACAAGACCTTCCTCACTAATTGATCCTAGCTTACACTGAGGCCCCGGAATCAATATCTTTATCTGGGTAATATTATTGATGAGTTCCTCAAGAATATGTCATAACTAACGGACGTTATAACCGTGCAGCATGGACCCTTTACTGGGGTCGGTACTGCTGATAGTGCTGATATGTGGGGTGGGGTGGACCCTTTACTGGGGTCGGTACTGCTGATAGTGCTGATAGGTGGGGTGGGGTGGACCCTTTGCTGGGGTCGGTACTGCTGATAGTGCTGATGGGTGGGGGTGGACCCTTTACTGGGGTCGGGACTGCTGATAGTGCTGATAGGTGGGGGTAGACCCTTTACTGGGATCGTTACTGCTGATAGTGCTGATAGGTGGGGGTAGACCCTTTACTGGGATCGTTACTGCTGATAGTGCTGATAGGTGGGGAGGGGACGACCCTTTACTGGGGTCGGTACTGCTGTTAGTGCTGATAGTGCTGATAGGGGGGCTTCTCTGGGATCGGTACTGCTGATAGTGCTGATAGGCGGGGTGGGGACGACCCTTTACTGGGGTCGGTACTGCTGTTAGTGCTGATAGTGCTGATAGGGGGGCTTCCCTGGGATCGGTACTGCTGATAGTGCTGATAGGCGGGGTGGGGACGACCCTTTACTGGGGTCGGTACTGCTGTTAGTGCTGATAGTGCTGATAGGGGGGCTTCTCTGGGATCGGTACTGCTGATAGTGCTGATAGGGCGGGTAGGGGGGCTTCACTGGGGTCGGTACTGCTGATAGTGCTGATAGGGCGGGTAGGGGGGCTTCACTGGGGTCGGTACTGCTGATAGCGCTGATAGTGCTGATAGGGGGGCTTCACTGGGGTCGGTACTGCTGATAGTGCTGATAGGGCGGGTAGGGGGGCTTCACTGGGGTCGGTACTGCTGATAGTGCTGGTAGGTGGGGGTGGACCCTTTACTGGGGTCGGTCCTGCTGATAGTGCTCATAGGTGGGGGTGGACCCTTTACTGGGGTCGGGACTGCTGATAGTGCTGATAGGTGGGGGTAGACCCTTTACTGGGATCGTTACTGCTGATAGTGCTGATAGGTGGGGTGGGGGTGGACCCTTTACTGGGGTCGGGACTGCTGATAGTGCTGATAGGTGGGGGTGGACCCTTTACTGGGGTCGGTACTGCTTATAGTGCTGATATGTGGGGTGGGGTGGACCCGTTACTGGGGTCGGTACTGCTGATAGTGCTACCGTGCAGCATGGACCCTTTACTGGGGTCGGTACTGCTTATAGTGCTGATATGTGGGGTGGGGTGGACCCGTTACTGGGGTCGGTACTGCTGATAGTGCTGATGGGTGGGGGTGGACCCTTTACTGGGGTCGGGACTGCTGATAGTGCTGATAGGTGGGGGTAGACCCTTTACTGGGATCGTTACTGCTGATAGTGCTGATAGGTGGGGGTAGACCCTTTACTGGGATCGTTACTGCTGATAGTGCTGATAGGTGGGGTGGGGTGGACCCTTTGCTGGGGTCGGTACTGCTGATAGTGCTGATATGTGGGGTGGGGTGGACCCGTTACTGGGGTCGGTACTGCTGATAGTGCTGATATGTGGGGTGGGGTGGCCCCTTTACTGGGGTCGGTACTGCTGATAGTGCTACCGTGCAGCATGGACCCTTTACTGGGGTCGGTACTGCTTATAGTGCTGATATGTGGGGTGGGGTGGACCCGTTACTGGGGTCGGTACTGCTGATAGTGCTACCGTGCAGCATGGACCCTTTACTGGGGTCGGTACTGCTTATAGTGCTGATATGTGGGGTGGGGTGGACCCGTTACTGGGGTCGGTACTGCTGATAGTGCTGATAGGTGGGGTGGGATGGACCCTTTACTGGGGTCAGTACTGCTGATAGTGCTGATAGGTGGGGGGGGGGGGCCCTTTTACTGGGGTCGGTACTGTTGATAGTGCTGATAGTGCTGATAGGGGGGCTTCCCTGGGATCGGTACTGCTGATAGTGCTGATGGGTGGGGGTGGACCCTTTGCTGGGGTCGGTACTGCTGATAGTGCTGATAGGTGGGGGTAGACCCTTTACTGGGATCGTTACTGCTGATAGTGCTGATAGGTGGGGTGGGATGGACCCTTTACTGGGGTCAGTACTGCTGATAGTGCTGATAGGTGGGATGGACCCTTTACTGGGGTCGGTACTGCTTATAGTGCTGATATGTGGGGTGGGGTGGCCCCTTTACTGGGATCGGTACTGCTGATAGTGCTGATAGGGCTGATAGGGGTGCTTCACTGGGATCGGTACTGCTGATAGTGCTGATAGGGCGGGTAGGGGGGCTTCACTGGGGTCGGTACTGCTGATAGCGCTGATAGTGCTGATAGGGGGGCTTCACTGGGGTCGGTACTGCTGATAGTGCTGATAGGGGGGGATGGACCCTTTACTGGGATCGGTACTGCTGATAGTGCTGATAGGTGGGGTGGGGACGACCCTTTACTGGGGTCGGTACTGCTGATAGTGGTAATAGGGAGGGGAAAGGGAAATCATGCCGTTTATCATAACAATAATTAAATTACTTGTGCTTCGGTCTTATAGACTACATTCGAAATTAACATAAGATACTTAAAAGTAATGCCCATCAGTCAGAACTCGTAGTGCCGTTATTAGCTGACATGAAATATGTTTCTTAATGATTTTATTTACGACACAGAACAAAACACGAAGTATTTTACCGAGACTTGTTGTTAATGAACTGGTGGGGTGTATCACCACCAGCACTACAGCTATTCCAATTAGCATGTTTGGTTTAGGTATAGAATTCATCATGAATATTTCAAGTTTCCATGTATAGAAACCGCCGCTCATTGCGTGCTTACAGAAGCCATGAAGAGGCTCTGGCGATACAGTCATTCTGTGTGAACCATGTACGGCACTACTAGGTACATATAGGTAGACCAACAAACCGGCGTTTAGCATAGTGTTCTCACCAATATTAATATTCTACAACTGAATCTAATTAAAAGAGTGTTGTAAGATGATCGATAAACATTTTCATCTGAAGGAAAAGTTGCATTTAAGATTTATTTAAGAACTACATAGAGGGCGTCGTCGTTGAAGCTGATCACATTTACGCTTGCCCTTCTATAACAATTGGCCTTATTCTCCTTGTGTTTTTTCATGGGTGTCTATGTGAGTCTCTCCTTTCTTTATATCATACAATTTGGTTTACTTTTTTGGTTAGGGCTGTGGTTTTGTTGGCATTTAGGTATTTTCCTACTTGAATTATAATGAAATAGTTTTTAATTGACAATTAGGGCGCTGTGATATTTCTAATCTTAACAACAAGATAGCGCGGTACCTCTTATTCTATCTCAATATTGTCTTTGCTGTTTTCGCTACATTTTCTTTGTGCCGTGTTATCGTAGTTTCACTTAATATTTCAATGAACTTTCGTCGCAGTCATTTTCCTCTATAATTTAAGTAATTCTTACAGACCAGCTGTGTTCAGCTATACGAGCAAGAATGCTTGTCGTCGTTTTTCTCATTTTAACCGTCGCAGCATCCTCGATACTTCAGGTATGGCAAGCCAAGTTGTCATTTATGCATGGAGCAATGTTGATCCAGTACTTAACCAAATTATATAAGATATCTTATTTAATTATATAAGATATCTTATATACTTTATGAGATATCTTATATACTTTATAAGATATCTTATATAATAAATGAGATATCTTATATATTTTATAAGATATCTTATATACCTTTCTTTATAAGATATCTCATAAAAGATATAAGATATCTTATATATTATATAAGATATCTCATAAAAGATATAAGATATCTTATAAAGAAAATTAAATGAGATATCTTATATCTTTTAGAAGATATCTTATATAATATATAAGATATCTTATAAACAAAATTAAATGAGATATCTTATATAATTCGGTTATAAGATATCTTATAAAGAACGAGATTTGAATTTGAGATAATAAACCCTCCTCCACAGCGCTCGGTAAAGCATTAAATCGAAAGCCTTAGTTTCGTACGTATCTCTTAACCGGAAATGAAGTATGTGAAAGTGAAAGTAGGAGTTTAATGCCACCAAATAGGTCTGGTTATAGCGGTATTAACATTATTTTAAAAGGTTAAGCTTTATAAAGTAGATGGGGGGTAAGTGGTGGAGAAATGGATGTTCCTATGTATTTCATAACTGAAGGAAAACGATCCTACTGCATGTATTACTTACAATTTATTCATTAAAATGTTTTATCTTGATTTTCTTCACGGATTTCCTCTAAATGTTTTTAAAGAAATTTGATAAAATTGTAATATTACCCGTACAAATTCACAGACAGGTAATTGACATTAAACATATTAGGAACATTTATTAATTGTTTCGGCTGCTTATCACAGACCGCATTAAAGCCATTTTGGTCTCTGTGGAGTATAACATATAGATAGACATGGGGACATTTTTTTTTATTTACTGTTTCAGACTGGTCATACACCTGTATTTATTATCACAGACAGGCTATGT